AATAATTATGGAGTTTGACTTTGTTGCGGTTTTTTATCTCGCCCTGTAGACAGGCAAACGGACTTCGTTATTTCTGAGGGTATAAAAGTAAAAATGGCTGAGGATATAACTAAATTTAGGTTATTTGCCATTTTACCATGCATTTAGGTATTTAAGCCATATTCATTCCCTCCATACATATATGTGGTTCACATGCATGTGCTGGATATTATGCATAATATTGACATAAATTCCAATTTCATGTGCGGGCTTCAACTGTGGCCTCTGCTGCTGCAGCTATGGCCGTAGATTAAATATTGTTCCTTTTCACGATGATAATCTCGATATAGCCTAGAAATTTTATGAAAATCTATTTGTTTTCTTATTTTTCTGATGATGATGAGAAGCATTTTTTTGTTCGCAATGACAGGCTGGCTGGCCTGATGTGAAATGTGGAAAATCATGGCAAAATTTGAATTTGTGTCGATTGTCTTGTTTATCTAATGAGCTGGTGAGGGATGGGAGAGGGGGGGAGCATGCATATTCACACATATACATCCATGCATACAAGGAAATTCAAAAAATGTTCATAAAAGACAATGCTGTCATATATGTAAGAATATATCTTCATTGCAAATTGTGCGACTTATTCTAATTATGTTCCACTTCGACTTTTATGAAAGTTCTCATTCTTATTCTCCATATGATACTTTGTCATAATTTTCCCATTACAACTATGAAAATTTTATTATTGTAAGAATGTAACAATTTTCACACTGCACTCACACTTTCTCGCATACTTTCTGTATGTATATATGTGTGCCAGGAAATTTTCCTTTTGAAGTTTCGCCAAGAAAAAATAATATAAAATTCAAATTTATTTGCATTCGCATACTTTTATAACACATTTCCGCTGCCTTTGTTTTACAAAATTTCCCAACGAGAGGAAGCTTTAGTTTTCACAATTTTCCTTTTAAATGCAAATGTCGTTTATGTTGGCCAAAAACATAAAAGAGAGACGAGGAAGTGAATTTTTCATGAGATGGTCGTAATGTAAATTTTAAGAGATGACGCATTTTTTTAAATGAAGCTATGGAATAAGAGTTTTAAATGAAAGCTAATTTTTTCAAATTTCTAAAGAAACCATGAATTTTTAATATCTGAATTTATAGAAATGTTTCATTATAGCTGACCCTATATAATAATTTTTATACCCTTCACCAAAGTATGGAGGGTATATTACGTTTGTCATTCCGTTTGTAACACCTCGAAATATACATTTTAGACCCCACAAAGTATATATTCTTGATCAGCATAAAATTCTATATCGATTTAGCAATGTCCATCCTTCTGTCCGTCTGTGGAAATCACTCTAGCTTCCGAACGAAATGAATCTATGAAGTACATTGATAAAATTTTACTCAAATGTGTATTATGTCTGCAGGACTTTTGGTATTAAAAATGGGCCATGAAGGTCCACGTCTTCCTATAGCCCTCATATAACGGTACCTCCCGATATGCGGTATTTTGATGATTTCAGCGACTTTATTTACCGGAATTGTTTCAAAATTGGTATTTAAAGTTCTTAATAGATACTTTGGCTTACGACAGAAAAAGGGCCATGTAGGTCCACGTCTTCGTATAGCCCCCATATAAGGTACCTCTCGATATTCGGTATTTTGACGATTTTAGCGACATTATTCACAGGAATTGTTTAAAATTTGGTATTTGAAGTTCGAAAGGGATACTACAGCGTAAGAAAGAAAATTGTGTGGGCAGGTCCACGTCTTCGTATAGCCCCCATACAACCATACCTCCCGATGTGCGGTATTTTGATGATTTTAGCGACAATATTTACCGTAATTGTTTCAAATTTCGCATTTGAAGTTCGTAATGGATACTACAGCCTATGACAGAAAATTGTCTGTGCAGGTCCAGGTTTTATAACCCCCATGGTACCTCCTTATATTCGGTATTTTGATGATTTTAGCTACATTATAAACAGATTTTTTTCAAGTTTCGCATTTGAATATTGTAATAGCTTGTGACTAAAGTTGCCTATGCAGGTCCACGTCGTCGTATAGACCCTAATATTTTTTAGAAGACCTTTTTAATAATCATGGATTTTTTTTTTTTTAAATTTCAAATAATTTTAAATTTTTTAAAAGCACTGTAACAATAGTAGAAGTTTTTGAAATTTTTAATAATTTTTGTTTTTTAGTAATTGTCGAGATCTATTTTAATCGCGGTATTTTTAGAAATAATTGATTTTTATTAACTTTAAGTAATCGCTTGGATTTTTATAATTTATGTGTTAGGATATTATAAGTTTAGTTGGGAAAAAATAAATTTTTAACACGGCAAAATATTGTTCCAACAACCACAAGGATCATCCTATCTCGCCGAGTTAAGTCGATCTAGCTATATGTGTCCGTTCGTGTGTTCATGTTAATTTGTAATCACGCTAAAAATCGCAATTCCCTCGAATTTTTTATGAGTGTTGGTTTAGGGTCGGAATGGAAGTCTGTTATGTTTGGAGATGATCGCAAAATATTTAGGGGTTTAATAAACCAAAAACAGAAAATTTCCCTAATTTAGCAGTTGCTGTAAAGGTCACAATTACAGACCAATCGGCGGATTTTGCATTAAGAAAGAGCTTAAAACAGGGCAGAAGCCTACCAATTTAGATGGTCATTGGATAATGTTTAGGGGGTGATTATAACTTTTGTGTACAAAAATACCAAAAAAAAAAACCCACTACAAAATCGCCACCAATTCTCAACACCAGATACCAACAGTGACATCTATATCAAATTTCAGGATTCCAGCCTTCCACATGAAGACCATACCAAATTTAGTACCATTTAGTGCTTTTCGTGCAATCAGTGTCCATATTTCCGAAACTACTTACATACCTCAACCCTTAATAACAACAGAGACCTTAATATATTAACTTTAATATCCCTTCACCCAATACCAAAATTAGTACCATTTAGTACTTTGCGTAGAAAAATAAGACGGATTTCAAAAACTATCTTCATATCTTAATATATCGCAGACACCAACCGTGCCATCCATATCAAATTTCAGGATATCGGCTCTATTCCCTTACTCCATACCAAATTTAGTACCATTTAGTACTTTTCGTACAATTATATAGCACACATTTCCAAGGCCATCTCCAGATACCAAATAAGACCACAATATAAAATTTGAGGATTTCAGCACAATTCCTTCACCCCATACCAAATTTAGTACTTTTCGTAATACTATGGTACACATTTCCAAACCTATGTACCAGTCACGTCCGTATCAAATTTCAGGATTTTCCAACCATGGCCAAATTTTGTATTTTTCGTACTATTTTAATATACACTTTCTAATGCGACCCTAATACAAAATATCTTACAAATATCGGACGCATTTCCAGCTCTATCGGTTCATCCAAATTTTAAATTGTACCAAATTTAGTACCATTTAGTACTCACGAATTTTCAAAAGTACCTACATATATATCTCAGTCTTACAATGAATTAGTAATCTTATTTCCAAATTTAAGTATTCAGGTTTATCGATTCACCCTGATCGAAATGGTACCAAATTAGAACGTTTTAGTACTTTTGAAGCACATAAGTACAAATTTGGAAAACTACTTTCATATCTAAATTATACACTCCTACAATACAATCGTAATCTGGTTTCCAAATTTAAGTATTCCATATCTATCTTTTCGCCCTAATCGAAATTGTACAAAATTTAGTACCAATTATTACTTTTCGTGCACATAAGTACCAATTTCGCAAAACTACCTCCATATCTCTAAATCTACTCTACGCCAGTGATGTTAGTTTCAAATTTCAGTACTCCAGCTCCATCTGTTCCTCCAAATTCATAGTTGTACTAAATTTAGTACTGTTTAGTACTTTTCGTATACATAAGTACACATTTCCGAACGTACCTCCTTACATCGCCTTACACCCTTCTCAGCCTTGATTCTTATTCCAAATATCAAAATACCTCAGTCTGTCAATGCATTATTTCCAAATTAAAGCATTCCAGCTCTATCGGTTCTCCCAAAATTTAAATTGTACCAAATTTAGTACCATTTAGTACACATAAGTACAAATCTACCTACATACCCCAATCCTATAATAATATAGTTATCTTATTTCCAATTTTAAAGGTCCCAACTCTATCGGTTTTTACAAAATTTCAGAGAGTACGAAATTTAGTACATATAAGTATGTTCATCAAAATTAAAATTGTACAAAGTTTAGTACGTTTTAAGTACTTTTCGTATACATGAGTTCACACTTCCAAAACTACATTCTTATATCGATCCTATTGCTCAACCTTGATTCCCATTCCAATTTCAAGTGTTTACCTCAAGCGTCCACTAGATAAGAAATATCCAAATTCCAAATGTAGTACATTTTAGTACTTTTCGTACACTTCTAGTACACATTTAAAAAACTACCTCCATATCCTAAATCTACACGTCGCCAATGATATTAAGTTCAGAGTTCAGAATACCAGCTGCATCGGTTTCTCCAAATTCAGATTGTACCAAATTTAGTACCTTTTGGTACTTTTCGTACACACACTTCCAAAACTACCTCCTCACATAGGAACTACTACTCAGAATTGATTCTCATTCCAAATTTTAACTTTTTACCTCTAAGCGTCCACAGGAAAATAAATATCCAAATTCCAAATGTAGTACATATCAGAACTTTTCGTACACTTATAGTGCGAATTTCCAAAAACCCTTTGGTACATCTATCCTGTACTCCATTAGTGACTTTCATTCCAAATTTTAGATTTCTAGATCATTCCGTTTATCCAATAAAAAGTATTCTATTTTAGTACTAATTTCCAAAAAGCCCAACCTAATCAAACGTCTATGGACCAAGACGAATCCTAATGCCAAAAATTCAGTATTCTAGCCTTAGCCGTTATGTCTGGGCGTTGATTCACAGTCAGCCAGCCTGTCAATCAGTTATTTCACTACTCTTTCATATACTTCGAGTTTATTGTTTTCGCTCTTATAATTATATCGGTAATTCTCGTTATACACAACTTATAATTCAAATTTAACTTTCGCCGATTTCAGCGCTACCTTAAGTCCCTCTCTTGAGCTTATATAGGGTGTATCGTTATAGCAGATTTCCAAATCAGTCATTGGCATCAATTTCATTTGATAGCTGGAAAATAGTCGCACCAGAACATATTTCACCACCAGTTTTACAAAATTTTGAGCTGAAAAAAGACATTTGAAAATATTTCAAAATTTCCTAAAAAAGGATACCCACCTATACAGGTCTTAGCTCCCAGGCCAAATTCGGTGAATTTCTCTCCCGGATTACCATTGCTATCCTGTAGGAAACGCTGGGGTTTATATGCCATGGGATCTTGGAAATATTTCTCATCCCTTTGGATGGCCAGCAAGGGTATGACAAACGGTTTGCCCTCATTCAGGGTGCGTTTGCTATTCGGTATGGCATAAGGCTTGCGACAGGTTCTCTCAATTGTGGGGACACTGGGATATTTGCGTGTTGTTTCTTAAATGAATTTCAAAACAAACAAAAAATTGCAAAAATAATACAAATCCAATTCAAGTCATGTGTGATATTTTCGAACTTTAGAATCTAAATGAGCTCATACATCAAATCGTCAGCGCTCAACGTTCGTCCAACCCACTCACCTTGTATACACAAATCCAATAGCTTCATGTTTTTCAATTGTTCATAATTAATCTGTTTTTGCTTCTCCTTTGTTTCACTGTTCGCCATTATTTCGTCTCTCACTTTCTGCATCAACTCGGGCTGCTTTAAGATTTCGTACAGCGTAAATACTGCCGTCGATGCTATCGCCGTTATGCCATTTTCCAATAAATATTCCGCAATCCGGGCTACCTTTTTAATTGAAATAATCTTCTCCCTTTCGAAGACATTTTCAATGTGCCAATCGAATTTTTCCCGCACCTCAATGTCGTTGCCATTCCGAAATTTAACCAACAGCTGCATTATGTCCTTACGGATGGTGGCACCATCTTCGCGCAGCTCGACATTCTGTTGCACAATGTCACGTAGCCGATATGTCAGAGAGGATTTCGTTGGCAGGCGATTGAAGGTACTGCAAAAAATGGGAAAATACATTTACGATTATGGGAGTTGCATTTAATGTGGAAATTTTATGGATCGAAGAGGAATAAAAACAGGAACATTAATTAATAACGGAATTATATCGATGGAGAATGAAAAAAAGAATAAAATTAAAAGATTGAAAACAGATTTATGACTTTAAAGGAGTTTCTGATGGATATTTTTTAAAAGCACCTTCAAAAAATGAGTCTTCCAACTAGTTTCTATCGTAGTCGTAGCTATTTGCAAATGAGCTTTCCGATCCATTATTTTTACAAGGGTATATCGCACGAAATAAGTGGTCATTCTTTGACGTCTTGAAATCAAAAAAAAAAAAAAAAAAAAAAAAAATTGAAAAAGCATCTAATCGAACTCTTAATGCCCACCCTCATTTGGAAAAATTTGGAAATAAAAGACTTAAAAAATTCTGTTAAAATTTTAAAAATACCGAATATAGCCGTTATATTGGTGTTTTTATACGACGTGGACCCACACATGCATTGTTTGTCACAAGTCATTACCAAATTAAAATTCGGAACTTGAAATAAACGGTGCATAATGTAGCTAAAATCTTCAAAATATCGTACATAGGGAGGTACCCTTATATCGGAGCTGTGCGAAGACCTAGGCTGTAGCATCCATTACGAACTTCAAATACGACATTTCAAACAATTTCGGTGAGTATTGTACCTAATCTCGTCTAAATACCGAATATAGGGAGGTACTGATATATGGGGCCTATACGAAGACATGGAACTGCATACACAATTTTCTGTCACTGACTGTAGCTTCTAAATGCGTAATTTGAAAAAATTCCGGTGAATAATGACGCTAAAATCATCAAAATACCGAATATCGGGAGGTACCGTTATATGGAGGCTATACGAAGACGTGGACCTCCACAGACAATTTTCTGTCTTAGGCTGTAGTATCTATTTCGAACTTCAAATACCAAATTCCGGAGAATAATGTCGCTAAAATTATCAAAGTACCGATTATCGCTGAGGTACAATTATATGGGGGCTATATGAAGACGTGGACCTGAAACAATCCCTGCAGAATATTTTCGCGACAATATTCGGCATTTATTCTGATGTCACGGTCGATTATAACGAGCGGAGAGCGACCATCGGCTGTTATGGCGGCCCACACCATCACCATGATATACTCTGATAATGATCCTAATGCCAAAACAGAGCTACAGAGCTCTAACTTTATCCGTTCGCCCAATACAAAAGTTACCATATTTAGTACCTTTAAGTACTTTTTGTACCCTTCTAGTACGAATTTCGAAGAACCCACACTTATCTTCATCCGAAGGTTAACTCTTCCCAAAATTCGTTTTGTCAGATGATTCAGACAATCATTCAATACTTATTTATATGGATTGCGCAGCTGTGTCTAAAGATGAGTCAAGACCAGCAAAACACCCAACATCGACGTTTGGTACCGCTCCGATTGTTTTTTTTTTTTCTCACGATGTCCTGAAAATTATTTATAAACTAACCGCCCTTTGGAGTATAGATGCTACACTCCAGCCCTCATTCTAAATTTCAGAGCTCTAACTTTATCCGTTCGCCCAAAACAAAAATTACCACACATATTTAGTACCATTAAGTACTTTTTCTAGTACGAATTTCGAAGAACCCACACTTATCTCCGCCCCAAGGTTGACTCTTCCCAAAATTCGTTTTTTCAGATGACTCAGTCAATCACACAATACTTATTTATGTGGATTGCGCAGCAGTGTTTAAAGATGAGTCAAGACCAGCAAAACACCCAACATCGACGTTTGGTCCCGCTCCAATTGCTATACCCTCCACTATACTATGGAGGTTATATTAACTTTGTCATTCCGTTTGTAACTCCTCAAAATACTCATGTTAGACCCAACAAAGTATATATATTCTTGATCAGCGTAAAATTTTGCACACATGCTTATTTTTCCAGTATGCAGGTTATGTTCATAAATGGGCCATGTAGGTCCACGTTTTCATATAGCCCCCATATAACGTAACCTCCCGATATTCGGTATTTTGATGAATTCAGCGTCATTATTCACCAGAATTGTTTCAAATTACGTTTTTAGAGTTCGTAATAGGAACTACAGTCTGTGACAGAAAATTGCCTATGCAGGTCCACGTCTTCGTATAGGCCCCATATAACGGTACCTCCCAATATTCGGTATTTTGATGATTTTGGCGACATTATTCACCAGAATTCTTTGAAATTTGGTATCTGAAATTCGAAATGGATAGTACAGCCTAAGGCAGAAAATTGTCAGTGCAGGTCCAGGCCTTCGTATAGGCCCCATATAACGGCACCTCCCAATATTCGGTATTTTGATGATTTTAGCGACATTATCCAGCGGAATTGTTTCAAATTTGGGATCTGAAGTTCGAAATGGATAGTACAGCCTAAGACAGAAAATTGTCTGTGCAGGTCCACGTCTTCATATAGTCCCCATATGACGGTACCTCCCAATATTCGGTATTTTGATGATTTTAGCGACATTATTCACCGGAATTGCTTCAAATTACGTATTTAGAGTTCGTAATGGGAACTACAGTCTGTGACAGAAAATTGCCTATGCAGGTCTAGGTCTTCGTATAGGCCCCATATATCAGTAACTTACTATATTCGGTATTTTGACGAAATTGTTTGAGATGTCGCATTTGAAGTTCGTAATAAATGATACAGCCTGTAACAGAAAATTGTCTATGCTGGTCCAGGTCTTCGTATAGCTCCGATATAACGGTACTTCCCTATATACGGTATTTTGATGATTTTACCTACATTATTCACGGTTTCTTTTCAACTTTTCGAATTTGAATATGGTAATGGCTTATGACAAACCATGCCTATGTAGGTCCACGTCGTATAGACCCCAATATAACGGCTATATTCGGTATTTTTAAAAATTTAACAGAATTTTTTTTTTTGAAAATTTCCAAATGGTGAAGGGTATTCAAAGTCCGACCCGGCCGAACTTACAGCTTTTTAACTTTTTTTTTTCTCACGAAGTCCTGAAAATTATTTACAAACTACATTTTCAAAAAACATGTACTCACTATGAATTAATGCCGCTTCGCTGGAATGCATTATTCGAATACTGAAGGAACACCGAATCGGTTTGTTTGAAAACATCAATGTCCAGGCCGTAGATAAGATTTGCGATTACGTTAACGGCATAACTGCAAAAATAACAACAACAACAAAATGGAAAAATACAATTAATTTCAAAATCAATTATTTCTTTTCATTCCGAACAAGCCCCAGCAGCAACTCTGCAATTTGTGATTGCAAAACATTAAAATGCCTACAACAGAAATTGCAGGGCCGGTCTTTACTACACTTGCCCAGATTCTTTGGTGCTTATCTTATCTGACCACCCAGCAGATGACCCAACCGCACACACACACCTATAGAGTACTCACTTTCTCAACAATTGTTGCATATCAACGGCACAACAGCCATCTGCCGACTCAGCAGATATCCCCGCCGCCACTGTCGAGCTCAATTTATTCACCAGATGATCGCCAGCTTTTTCAATATTACGAAACATGGCCTCCAAGCGGCTGGCGGCAAATAACGGTGATAGCTTTTCCAATAAATTGTATTTACGATACGATCGTACGTACTCCCAGCGGATATCGTTGAAATGCCCAGCCTGATTCTCCATGAGGGTGCGGGCCAGCGACAGGTCACGGATCAGTAGAATCGGGCGGAAAAAGCAATAGATGCCCACGAAACGTTCCTTACCCGTTTGGTAGTAGGCATTGATGGCTTCGTGGTAGTGGAACTCGCGCTGGTAGATGGCCCGCAGAAATGACCAGCTGAGACTTGACTTTTCGTGGGGAAACCCTTTGCGTTGCCAATAGCTGTAGATGTGTCTGACGTAGAGGAAGATCAGGGAATACACCAAAATCGGTATCAGCAGCCACATGGTGTTGTTGTTGGTGTTGCTTGTTAAAGCTGATGATGGGTGATGTTGTTGTTCGCTGAGTCGTTAAATCACAAGTGATAACTGTGCGGAGGAGAGGTTCAATCAATGTTTGTGATTACAACAAAAGCCCCAACTAAGCGTTCAACCGTTCGCATCACTTATTGTTGTCAGTTGTTTTTGTTGTTACCGTCGTTGTCGTCGTTTGCCACCCGGCTTAGCATTAAAACGAGTTCTGCTGCCGTTGTTATAGGTGATGCGAGAAACACGGGAGCACGCGTTCGTTTCGTTTTCAAAACTGATCATCAGAAGCTTTACGGCCTCACTGACGACTACTGGCTGACCCAGCGGCGGGCTTTGTTTCGCCAAACTGAAAATGTTGTTGTTGCGTGTTGCTTTTTCTTCTGCTTCCAATTCTTCTCCTGCTCTTGGTCACAACAGAAAATGAAAGTTCAGGTCCGCTCATCAAGCTATGGCTGTGGTGATCGGTCAGTGTAGCATAGGCCATAAAACAAACCCCCAACACAATTCTCCTCCATTCTCAGAGTTACGTTTCGATGCGTTCTCAGCTGATAGCAAAGAATTTCTTTGAAGCCTAAATGCCCATCCATACATGCGACTATCGGGGTATCTGCAAGATTGTCAATGTATTGGTTTTGCTGGTTTTGTGTGTGTGTGGTTTTTTGGTCAGCAACAGCAGTCCTTCGCCTGAAGATGCAGCTGTGTGAGAATGCAGGTTAAGGCACCCTACATTGGGTTCTATAGAAAAAACATGCCTCAGAGTGAACAGGTGTTTCGGATTTTTTCTAGAGAAGAAAACAAAATATCTCCGGTTCTTCTATGAGAAGACCTCAAGTTCTGCCATGAGGAGACATCCTGGTCTTCTATGAGGAAGATCTCCAGCTCTTCAATGAGAAGATCTCCAGCTCTTCTATGAGAAGATCTCCAGCTCTTCAATGAGAAGATCTCTAACTCTTCTACGAGAAAATCTCCAACTCTTCTACGAGAAGATATCCAGCTCTACTATGAGAAGATCTCCAGCTCTACTATGAGAAGATCTCCAGCTCTTCTAGGAGAAGACCTTCAGCTCTTCTAGGAGAAGACCTTCAGCTCTTCTAGGAGAAGACCTTCAGCTCTTCTAGGAGAAGACCTCCAGCTCTTCTGCGAGAAGACCTCCAGCTCTTCTGCGAGAAGACCTTCAGCTCTTCTAGGAGAAGACCTCCAGCTCTTCTGCGAGAAGACCTCCAGCTCTTCTGCGAGAAGACCTCCAGCTCTTCTATGAGAAGATCTCCAGCTCTTCTATTAGAAGACCCCCAGATCTTCTCTGAGAAGACCTCCAGCTCTTCTATGAGAAGACCTCCAGATCTTCTCTGAGAAGATCTTCTCATTTTCGATGATCTGATCTCTCCGAGGACACCTCCAGGTCTTTTATGAAAACTTCTAGGTCTTCGAGAGGACCTGCATGTGTTCTATGAAAAAAGTTTTGCTCTTCTAAGGGAACCCCACACGGCTAGGGTAATCACTATTCGACCATTACCTCAAACCCTCCATCTACCACTTGTTGCTTCCATAATGTGTCTTGTTTTCCTAAACTGCAGAATATTTCGTTTTGCTCTCTTTCCATGCGTTTTTGTTTTTTCTTAAAAGGTTCTTCGACATATTTACTCAAAATTATATATTTTTTTGCTGTTTTGTTTTCAGAATGTTTCAAGCAAATTTCCTCCAGCCAGCCATTCACCAGCGCTTAAGCCCAAATTTGGAAAGAACATAAACGCTGATAATTATTTTTATTTTTTTGAGATATTGTTTTGCTTTCAGGCATTCATTCATTTCCCGCTCTTTGTCTTCTCGTCATCGGTGCTGCGGCTTTGCTCTCAAGACGTTGTGTCGATTGTCTTTTGGGATTTTGTCCATTATCAGCATTTAAGGGGGGTGGGTGGCAAGGCATGTCAGTGGTGGTATTGGCTGTTTTTCGCACGCACTACTGAATTGATTCTGATTCTGGTTTTTGGGTTTTGCTTGGCTTGGTTCCGATGATCACACGCTCATCGTTCATTTTTGTTTATGTTTACAGCGTAAAAGTGATGTTATTTTGCTTTCATTTTCTTACTTATCATGGTATTGTTTTTTGGACCAATTTTGTAAATTTCGTTGTTGTTGTCGTAGATTTCAACAAGTGCTTATTTTAAGATGGAAAGATATATGAGTGTCAGAGATGAGAAATTTTAGAAGCATTAAGGAAGGGTCCTTAGAACACTGTTCTGAAAAAGCACGATTTCAACAAAATATATAAAAACGCCTTTCAAAAAATATTCCTTTAAAGCGTAATTATAGCCCTAAGGACGGTCAATATATTTTGTAAATTAACAAAGAATAAAATATGTTGAAAACTTCACTAATTTGGACAAACAGGTCCTTTTCAAAACCATGCTTTAAAAATCCACCAGTTAAGGTCCCTTCAACACATTTTTCAAAGGTCCTTTAGTAATATTCTCAAAAAGGCGATTGTAGCTCCATGAGTTCTTCTACAAAATATTTTAAAAATATCCTTAAAAAATCCTAGGTTCCGATTTTATGTTTATTAAATAAAATTAACGATTTAAAAAAAAATCTTTTAAAACGGAAGTAACCTTCACTTCTTCAAAAAAAAAACTTTTTTTTCAAAATTGAAAGGTCCTTCTAAGGATCCTTGAAAAAAAATATTTGTATACCCCCCACCATACTATGGAGGGTATATTTGTCAGAATTTTTAACGGATTTTATTTTTTTTTTTTTTTGGAAATTGCCAAATTTTTACCAAATGGTGGAGGGTATTAAAAGTTCGGCCCGGTCGAACTTACAGCTTTTTTACTTGTTTCACTCTTGTATCTTTGGGTCTTACCAAAAAGTTTTTTAAAAATAAACTTCTACAGGTCCTTCCGATATTGTTTAATACTCGATTGTGGCTCTGAGGATCCTTCCAAAATTTTATTTTAAAATCTACGACCCAAAGTTCTATCAAATCTTATTGAGGATTCTTCATAAACACTTCTTTAAAAATATTTTTTGAAATATATTGGTTATACTTCTAAGAGTCCGAAAATATATTTTTTACAAATTCACGATCGAATAATCCTGAAAAAATATTTTTTCCACAAACTAATAAATTATTCCTAAGAAATCTACAAATCTAAAGTAGCTCTCAGAGATTTTGAAAATATCATCTAAAACAATCAGGGAGTGTTGTACAAGGTTCTTTAGAAAATTTCTATTGAGAAATATTTTTAAAAATTTCGCGACCATGGCCATACTTGTCCTTCAAAAAATATTCCTTAGAAGTCCAATTATGGTTCTAAGTTTTTTCAAAAATATTCTTAAAAAAATAAAAAAATACATTTTTTTAAAAATTCTTCATTTGTGGTCCTAAGGGTCCTTCAAAAATATTGTGAAAAAAATCACAATTGTGGCCCTAACAGAATTTTGTACGAGGACCTGTCTTGGTGCATGGACGTCTTATAAGGCTGGGTTTTTTGAAAATTCGTACTAAAAGGGTACGAAAAGTACTAAAATCTACAAAAAAATTATACTTTGTATTGGACAAACGAAACGAGCTATAATTATTAAATGTGAGCGTTACTGATTGAGTGCTGGATAGATGTACCAAAGGGTGTTTGGAAATTTGAACTTCAAGATAAAAATTGTCAATTGGGTATAGGAATTAAGGTTGGGAAGTCAGTTTGATATCTGAAGGTTGTTTTAGAAATGTGTAGTAAGTGTGCGAACTGTACTAGGGTCGCTGTTCATGTGTAGCCTGTGGACATGTGTGTCATAATTGTACGAAAAGTACTCAATTTGTTATTGGGTATAGGAATAGAGCTAAAATCCGGAATTTTGATATAGATGTCACTGTTGATGTCTGATGTTAAGATATAGAGGTGGTTTTGGAAGTGTGAACAAAAATTGTACGAAAAGTACTAAATGGTACTAAATTTTGTATTGGGTGAAGGAATAGGGCTCGAATTCTCAAATTTGATATTGAGGTCACTGTTGGTATCTGAAATTGGGATATGGAGAGGTTTTTGGACATATGGACTGTAATGGTTCGAAAAAGTACTAAATGGTACTAAATTTGGTATTGGGTGAAGGATAGAGCTGGAATCCCGAAATTTTGATATTGAGGCCCCTGTTGTTATTTGGAATTGAGATTTGTAGGTTGATTTGGTTTTGTTATTTCGCAAATGCTCGATCTAAGGGTCTTTCAAAAAATATTTTGTAAACCATTCATTGTGGAATTCAATATTTTTTTATACTCCCGATATTTTTTGTTAAAAATCCACAATGTAAGGGTCCTTCAAAGAATTTTTTTTTTCATTTTTTTTTAATTCACAATTGTGACCTGACCCTTTGTAAAATACTTTTTAAAAATTCAATAGGCTTTTGGTTATTCAAGGCTTCTCCAACATATTTTCAAATAACCACATTTGTGGGTTTCAGAAATATTCTTAAAAAATTCAGGGCTTTTTGAAATATTTTTTTTTTTAAATCTCTTATCATCAAAATGCAAAATTTAGCTTTAAAATATTTTGAAAAATATTGTAATAAATCCGCGCATTGGGCTATAAAGGCTTTTCTAAAATATTTTTAAAGAAAAAAAAAATGTTTTAAAGTATCCACATTTGTCCTTCTAAGAATCATTCAGCGGACATTCATAGAATGATTTTAAAAAATCTACGGTTGTGGCATTCAAACGTAGTCTTAAAACTCCGCGGTTCTGTTTCAAAGGATATATACAACCAGTAAAGAAAGTCCTAAAGTCGGGCAGGGCAGACTTTATGATACCCTACACCACTTTGCCAATTTAGTAAGAATTACAAGTTTTTATGGAAGAATTCAATCATACACGTCATGATTATAATTATATAAATATGCCGAAGCATTTGTATCTTTTAAATACGGACTTGTATTGTCCATTTGGTGCACAATTATTTTGAAATCGAATAAAAATATATATGGGAGCTATATCCAAATCGGAACCGATCTCGATAAAATTTAGCAAAGATATTTCTGAGTTGCATTTGATATATTTCCCCAAATATTGTTGTTACAGAGTGCATATTACGGCTGCTGAGGACAAAAGTAACAAATCAGATGAACAATATATATGGAAGTTATAGCTATATCTGAACCGATTTCGATCAAATTTGGCATACTTATTTTCAGGCCTAATTTGGTTGTATGTGCAAAATTCCATACTATTCGGGTTGATATTACACGTTTGGTGCACAATAAAAAGCAAATCGGACGAAGATATATGTGGGAGCTATATCTAAATTTTGACCGATTATCTCCAATTTCAATTGGGTTCGTCCTTGGAAAATTTCATCTCAATTGGATAATAAATGCGACATGCATTTTGTTCACAAGAATACATGGATGGACAGACGGACTGACATGCATAAAT